TGCAACTTTAACGCTTAGCCACAAAATTATCAATGCAACGTTAATGCCAATTGACAAAAGAAAAAAATTTATTCAATTTTTATACAAAATTAAATAAAAAACTATAATTTAATAAAAAAATTTAAAATAAAATTTATAATAAAAAAAATTAAAAAAGAGTTTATTTAAATTAGTTTATATCAATTAAGTATAAAAAAATTGGTCAGCTACACTAAAACACACAGTATATGAAACAGATAAAAATATATATACAATTAATTTTATGAAATTTAAATGTACAAAAATAAATATTACATAATACATAAATTCTTATTTTTTTAAAGATATATAAATATTGATATAAAGTTAATATAGCAATTAAAGTAAAATTAGATTTTTTGACAAAAGGAAGATTTAATAATGATGTTAAAGTTTTATATAATTATTGAATAGTTATTTTCTATTGATTGTCTCAAAATACTATTATTAAGCTAACTCAAATACCATTAAGTTTTTTAGCTTAATTATATTAAATCCCCATCATTTTTATGTAAATAAAAGGTTTAAATTTTAAAAATAGAGAATATAATTAACGAGTGGGAAGCTACCAATTTTTATTCCACCAACTTCTTATCACTTTCATATATTGGTTACCTAAACGGTTACAAATTAATAATATAGTATAGCGCTTTTTCTAACCCCTAGATGTAGCCACAAAAATAAAAATTCATACATTAAAATAATTAAATGGTCTTATATCAACTGACGCCTTATATAAACACACTTACTAACACACACACCGCCGTAACAACTCGGATTATTGTGGGCGACGACCGCATTTCTCCACTTAGAAATTAACACTATTTTATGTGAAATTTAATCATATTTTTAATGATATAAACATATTGCCTGGACTCCTCTCGGATTATCTTGAAAAATCCAAATTAATATTTAATTAGCTTGTGGTGTGAGTAGAGTAATATTGGGAATTCTAGAACCCCCCGCCTCACCACTTCTCACAGATAGTGTAATGGAGGCGTGATCTTATCACAGATAGTGAAAGGAAGCGTGGTCTTATGAGGGTGGGGTTAGGGGAGGCGTGGTCTTATCAATGATGGTGTAAGGGGAGGCGTGGTCTAACGATGGTAGGGGTAATAGGTGACTTAGTTAGGGGTGTTAATGTCAATCAAAATGGCGGATTAAAGTGCGCATGCGCACTATAGCTTCATGTCAGTGGTGAGGGAGGTAGCTATATGGTTGTCTCCTCTTTCGATGTCATCTACTGGAGGGTAAGGTAAACCTCATGTGAACTGATAACGGTAACTGATAAACGTACGTGTAAACATACACATTACATTGAAATAGTGTACGTCAAATAGTGGCCGCCGTTGCCACTTTAACATATTTACTTAATATTAACGCTACAAAGTCTTCATCAACAATTCCTACAGAGGGAGGGGATAACGAAACATAACATAAACCAACCTATAATGGGTGGGGATGAATCCAAGTTAAACTAACAACGTTTTCTAAGAATTTTTATCATTGCCTACCAGACGCATAGGTAAGCATATTTCCAGCATCAAAGGTACCGTCATATTATAACCCACATTACCGTCTACATTTTATAAAAACAAAGACAACGTCTGTCGTTATGGCATTATAATTTCTAAGAATTTTATCATTGGTTACCAGACACTTAGCTAAGCATATTTCCAACATCAAAGGTACCGCTGTATTATAACGTTCATAGGCATCTGCATTTTTATTTTTTACATAGTATTTTATCATTGCCTATCACCAGATGCTTAGAAAAACATCTCGTTAATATTAGTATATTAGTATACTATGTTCGTCGTTATCGTTTGCTATAATAGTATAATCGCTGTTACTAATTATTATTATTATTTTCTACTGCGCCTTTAAAATAATAATATGTGTAACGCATTTTATTTTATTATATTTAATTTGACAATTTTTGTACCTATAACTAGAGGTATTACATTTAAAGTCGCTCCCCCACCACCAGCACCCCTGAGTCAACACTGCGTTTATCATTTAATGTATACATTACATTGAAATAGTGTACGTCAAGTAGCGACCGCCGCCACCACACTTGACTATTCCTTGAACGATTTTTAACAAACTCTATTAAGATAATTGGGTGTGAGGTGCACACAATGTGTGAAACCCAATGAAAACTAACCTAAATCGGGGGAGGGGGATTTCCTCAACATGTAGTAATGAGCGAAGGGGTAATAAAACATAATTTAAACTAATCTAATGGGAGGGGTGCGTATGAAACCTGACGTAAACAAACTTGCCGTACGTCTATAGTTTGTAATTTCTAAAAAATTTTACGTACAGTAATAATCACTGTTGTATGCATGCATTTTTTACATAGTAATTTATCGTTGTTAACCAGACGCTTAGGTCAGCATATTTCCAACAACAAAGGATATTACTATATTAAAACGCTCATTGGCGTCAGGATTTTATGAAAACAATGACAACGTATGTCGTTATGACATTATAATTTCTAAGAATGTTATCATCGGTTACCAGACGCTTAGGTCAGCATATTTCAAACATCAAAGAGGTCGCCGCATAGTAATGATTATTGTCGTGTGAATCTTATCATCGGATTCCAGACATTTAGGTCAGCATATTTCCAAAGATGTTACAATATATTAATGGCCATTGTTGTATCCATTTTATGAGAAAAATGGCAACGTTGTCTTTTTTCACGCCTACGCGTTTTATGAGAACTATTGCTATCATCGTTTACCAGACGCTTAGGTCAGCATATTTCAAACATCAAAGAGGTCGCCGCATAG